TTTACAGCACAGTAGTAGCACAGAGCGTAGGCAACTGGCTGAGTCAGTGGGATCGTCGGTTCGCATCCTACTGAAAGAAGTCTGATGAGGAAATGTGGTGATTTCCGAAATAGCTATCACTTCTACCATTTTTTCAAATTATTGTTGCTTTTCCACAATAAATTTTCATTTAAAAAATGGCCTCGAGCTCATTATAAAATTGTTGAATATAATTGTTAAAAGGCCAAAAAATAACAAAAAACAAATAACTTAAGGACGAGCACACCTAAAAGTTAAGCATTCTAAAAATAGAATTATTAGCACAAACCAACAAAACCAACAACCACATGATCAAGTGAATTGCAGCGGAATAGCTGCGCTTGATTGTAGTTGGCTTAACAAATGAAATAGAGGAAATAAGCAACAAGAATTAACAAGGCGAACTTAGCACAAATAACAAAAAGAAGTAAGTTCAGAACGAGCACACCTAAAAGTTAATTATTCTAATAATAGAAATATCAACAAAAGCCAAAAACCACATGATCAAGTGAATTGCAGCGGAATAGCTGCGCTTGATTGTGTTGGCATAACAAAAATGAAAATAGTGGAAAAAAGCAAACGATAATTTACAAGGCGTACTTAGCACGGTGCATAGGCAACTGGCTGAGTCAGTGGGATCGTCGGTTCGAATCCTACTGAAAGAAGTCTGATGAGGAAATGTGGTGATTTCCGAAATAGCTATCACTTCTACCATTTTTTCAAATTATTGTTGCTTTTCCACAATAAAAATTTTCATTTAAAACGGCCTCGAGCTCAATATAAATTGTTGAATATAATTGTTATAAAGGCCAAAAAAATAACAAAAACAAATAACTTAAGGACGAGCACACCTAAAAGTTAAACATTCTAAAAATAGAATTATTAGCAAAAACCAACAATACCAACAACCACATGATCAAGTGAATTGCAGCGGAATAGCTGCGCTTGATTGTGTTGGCATAACAAAAATGAAAATAGTGGAAAAAAGCAAACGATAATTTACAAGGCGTACTTAGCACGGTGCATAGGCAACTGGCTGAGTCAGTGGGATCGTCGGTTCGAATCCTACTGAAAGAAGTCTGATGAGGAAATGTGGTGATTTCCGAAATAGCTATCACTTCTACCATTTTTTCAAATTATTGTTGCTTTTCCACAATAAAAATTTTCATTTAAAACGGCCTCGAGCTCAATATAAATTGTTGAATATAATTGTTATAAAGGCCAAAAAAATAACAAAAACAAATAACTTAAGGACGAGCACACCTAAAAGTTAAACATTCTAAAAATAGAATTATTAGCAAAAACCAACAATACCAACAACCACATGATCAAGTGAATTGCAGCGGAATAGCTGCGCTTGATTGTGTTGGCATAACAAAAATGAAAATAGTGGAAAAAAGCAAACGATAATTTACAAGGCGTACTTAGCACGGTGCATAGGCAACTGGCTGAGTCAGTGGGATCGTCGGTTCGAATCCTACTGAAAGAAGTCTGATGAGGAAATGTGGTGATTTCCGAAATAGCTATCACTTCTACCATTTTTTCAAATTATTGTTGCTTTTCCACAATAAAAATTTTCATTTAAAACGGCCTCGAGCTCAATATAAATTGTTGAATATAATTGTTATAAAGGCCAAAAAAATAACAAAAACAAATAACTTAAGGACGAGCACACCTAAAAGTTAAACATTCTAAAAATAGAATTATTAGCAAAAACCAACAATACCAACAACCACATGATCAAGTGAATTGCAGCGGAATAGCTGCGCTTGATTGTGTTGGCATAACAAAAATGAAAATAGTGGAAAAAAGCAAACGATAATTTACAAGGCGTACTTAGCACGGTGCATAGGCAACTGGCTGAGTCAGTGGGATCGTCGGTTCGAATCCTACTGAAAGAAGTCTGATGAGGAAATGTGGTGATTTCCGAAATAGCTATCACTTCTACCATTTTTTCAAATTATTGTTGCTTTTCCACAATAAAAATTTTCATTTAAAACGGCCTCGAGCTCAATATAAATTGTTGAATATAATTGTTATAAAGGCCAAAAAAATAACAAAAACAAATAACTTAAGGACGAGCACACCTAAAAGTTAAACATTCTAAAAATAGAATTATTAGCAAAAACCAACAATACCAACAACCACATGATCAAGTGAATTGCAGCGGAATAGCTGCGCTTGATTGTGTTGGCATAACAAAAATGAAAATAGTGGAAAAAAGCAAACGATAATTTACAAGGCGTACTTAGCACGGTGCATAGGCAACTGGCTGAGTCAGTGGGATCGTCGGTTCGAATCCTACTGAAAGAAGTCTGATGAGGAAATGTGGTGATTTCCGAAATAGCTATCACTTCTACCATTTTTTCAAATTATTGTTGCTTTTCCACAATAAAAATTTTCATTTAAAACGGCCTCGAGCTCAATATAAATTGTTGAATATAATTGTTATAAAGGCCAAAAAAATAACAAAAACAAATAACTTAAGGACGAGCACACCTAAAAGTTAAACATTCTAAAAATAGAATTATTAGCAAAAACCAACAATACCAACAACCACATGATCAAGTGAATTGCAGCGGAATAGCTGCGCTTGATTGTGTTGGCATAACAAAAATGAAAATAGTGGAAAAAAGCAAACGATAATTTACAAGGCGTACTTAGCACGGTGCATAGGCAACTGGCTGAGTCAGTGGGATCGTCGGTTCGAATCCTACTGAAAGAAGTCTGATGAGGAAATGTGGTGATTTCCGAAATAGCTATCACTTCTACCATTTTTTCAAATTATTGTTGCTTTTCCACAATAAGTTTTCACAAAAAACGGCCTCAATTCAATAAAAATTTTTGAATATAATTGTTATAAGGCCATAAAATAACAGGAACAAATAACTTAA